ATCAGTGTTACAATATTGAATATTCCGTTTTCTTTGCCTGTCTCCCTGGAGATAAGAAATTAAGAAATGCAGGAGTGCATTCCTGAAACATTGCTGTTTGCAGTCATGTATTTAGATTTAAGTATTTTCTAGAACTTCAGAGAAAGATTGTGTAATATTTTAAATTCTGAATAGTGAACTCTCTTATAGCTGGGTTTTAAGATGTCTGAAACCACATGCTAGGGTCTTTTTTTCCCCCTTCAAATTATGCGTAAAACACTTCAAGAAGTAGTCATATCTATCTGGCAGAACTAACCATATGAATGGAGTTTAAGAGAGTTACTGTAGCTTTTAAGAATGCAGTAACATGAGGAAAGGAATCCAGTCATTTATATATGCACAATTCTCCTCTCTTGCTTGTTAATAGCAATAAGCATATGGAAAAGAAATTGAGTAGAGCGAGACAGTATTTTTCTTCCCTTGGCTTAAATAAAACTGACCATGTTTTATACTAAATAACTCATTACTTCATATTATATGGCATATCATCAAACTGAATATATTTAATAGAAACTACAGCCAGACTTCAGGATTTATCTTTAATTAGAAGAAACCTATACAGATGTAAAAGGGCACTTTCATCATTTGTGAGTTGCTTCTGATGCTGATCACCAAATGTATTATTTTTTTACCAGGAAAACATCACAGTGCTAGGAGACAAAGGGAATAATGACTTTAATTGGTCAGGATTTGTTTTAAGGTTTCATGTGTAACATCATCATCATCATCATCATCATCATCATCATCATCATCATCATCAATTTATTTTATTGCTTAAGGGATTACTTCCTTCTGTTTGTTAGGGTTTGGTTCGCAGCGTCCCTTTAATACAGGCCTGAATAACATACCCCACTAAGCCCACTCTTTTGGACTGCCCATCAAATATTCCTACTACTTTTTGCAGTTGCAAAGAAGTAGAGCTAGGGGAAAAGGAGGCTTTTCTAGGCTTTTTTTAAATCAGTATTGGCTATAATTTTTTTCTATCTGCCAAAAGAACGGCAAAGAAAGTTCTTTGCTCAAACCATGTGTTAATATGACGTACATACGCAGATACATTATATGGACTCCAACAGAGAGCACTTTACATTTCACTGTCAACCTGAATAGGAAATGAAGATGTCAGAGTGTGTTGGGTTGTCTCGAGGTGTTGGTAGGGTATGACTGGAAGCTAAGTAGAAAAAAAAGGGACACAGTTTTCAGTGGAATATATGTATTAGAAAATCTATGGAATTACTGTGAAGTCCTTGGGGTTCTCTGAGCCTGGTTCTTTTCTTGCAAACATTTCATTACCTGGCTAGGTAACATCTTCAGTGCTAAAATG